AACTGCTGAGTATGCCTAGGGCCCAAGGAGCAGAGGGTGCAGGAGAGAGGAAAGAGGGGAGGAGGCGGAGGAGTGAGGGCGGCAGAGCTTTGCACCTGAGGAGGCAGCCTGGCTGTGGGAATCCGAGGGGCGAGGAGGATGGGGTGGCATTCATGTGAAGCTGGCACCTCGGGCCTGCCCTGGCATCTCAGGCCACCTGCTAAGCTGGCTCCTGCCCTCTGTTCCCAGGCTGTCCCCACTTTGTGCTCCCCTTATGGGCGCAGGCTTCAGACCTGCTGGAAGCCCTGCAGGACAAGCTAGTAAAGGGATGAGGAGGGGAGAGGAAAAGACAGGCCCAGGCTGCCTGGAGACCCACAGGGCCCGGCACTGGGTAAAACAAAAAGCCCAGGGATTTTCAGGCTTGGACAAGACAACGTTTTGTAATTTATCTGGCGCTTAGGGCCCAGCCCCAGAGCTTTCTACTAAGCCTTTCTGTATTTCCACTTGGAAGTTATGAGACAATCCAGGCACTGATTCTGCCTCCAAAGTCAAGCAAAATCAAGCTCGAACAGCTGGAACTTTCTCTTCCCTCTCAGCATTTCTATTTGATTTTCACAGTAATTTGTTTGGAGTAGCAAGAAAATGCCAGTGGATGATTGTGTCTTCTTAAACTGGAAAGAAAACCGGCAGTGGGCAGGGCAGGCTCAGCAGGAGGAGTCCAGCCCCAGTGCTGGGCTGTGAGGCCAAGACGCCCTGCTGGGGGCTCTGCCCCGGGTTCTCTGAGTCTGGTAAGGTGGGCAGGGCTCTGTCAGCCCCATCCTGAGGGCCTTCTTCTGAAAACACCCAAAAGAGGCCTGGATTAGACTTTAGAGAGTGGCAAGAAGTCGGGTTCATGTCTTGTAGGCTTTTAGACTTCCGAGCTAGACTCCTAAAACGAGAGTGGAAAAAAACAGAGACCCGACAACTTGTCTGAGAACGAAATAAGTTGTCACAGGCATTTCTTAGCAGTGAACAGATTCTATGGAAGTCGAAAAGTCGCCTCTTCACTCCGATACGTGGGAAGCCTGTGGATTGCAAAATCCTCTCCCATCTTTTGTGCAGTGCCCCGACAGCTCCTGTGTCTCTCACATGTTCATGACCAAATGCATTACTCTGAGTCGCAGTGGGGAGCTACCCCCACCTGAAGGCCGAGAGGAAGGCTGTGCTCATTGACCTTCTGATTCTCTCTTTCCAGCCTCAAAAGAAGCTTCTAAGGTTAACCTGAGTGTGCAGTCAGGAAACCATTAATTATAGATATAACTAATAATTAAATCAATAGTGATCAAACACAAGATTTCGGCAACTTCAGTAAACACCGGTTTGCTTATACAACATCCTAGAACATGAAAGGGTAAGAACTGATCTGGGGGTACCTACTGCATGCTAGCTACACATCCCCTAGCTGCTCATGAGAATGGATATGTAAGAGAAAATTCCCAGGCCTGGTGTCGAGTCTCACGCCTATAATCACAGCCTCTGGGAGGCTGAGGCGGGTGAATTGGCTGAGCCCAGGAGTTCAAGCCCAGCCTGAGCAAGAGTGAGATCCACCCCTCTAAAAATAGCAAGTACACAGTTATGAGTTCCTCCTTATCCTTCTCCTCCTTTACATGGTTATCTAAAGATTTATCTTTGCAACAATTTATGGAATTGGTATTATTGTCCTGAATTTACAGATGAGAAAATTGAGGCTTAGAGATATTAAAGTGACCAATTTTGTCCAGCTAGCAAGTGGTGATGGAGGATATGGATCGGGGCCTATTTCCAAAGCCCACATACTTTCTCCAGGGTACATGAATGGCGTGATAGTTTAAAATGTGTGTGTGTGTGTGTGTGTAAGCAGAGACTCCTCTCAGCCTTCAGGTGGGGGGAAAACTCCCTACTTTGACTTATTTTATATATATATGTGTGTGTATGTATGTATATATGTATAGATATATATCATATATAGATATACATATACATGTGTATATATGTATCTCCCCCAAATCTAAGCAGCTTTGGGAGCTTATCAAAACTGTTAGAAAATCTCCCTCCTATTCTGGCGCTAGCCCAGGGGAAACTAGAATAAGCCTGCCACCTTGAGGCCACCCTGCAGCAGAAGAGCATGGGGCCCCTGCACTGAAGGGCACCATGGGGGCAAGGACCACTCACCTGTCAGCCCTCAGCCTGCTCCCGGCCGCTTTGTGGGGGAGGGAGGATTACTCCCAGGCCCCCAGAAGGGAAGGAATCTATAATAGCTGAACACAAGAAAGGGGGGTCTATACCTTCACTGAATTGAAAAGGAAGAGAGGGAGGCATTGTCCTTGTCTATAATTTTCTCCCTCTCCCACACAAACACCAAAAGAAAAAGAAAGCACCCAAGGTATATAATTGTATATAACTTGTATTTAAGGGCTATTTGGGTATGATTTGCAAAGATAATTTCTATTCATTTGTCTGTTTTTGAATAAGGAAAAGTCATGCTCAGAGGGTCATTAAATTAAAACTAGGGAGGCACCTCATTGAAATTCCACAGATGTGCTGACCCTCTCTCATGAGGAGATTTCTCTTGTAGTGCTGGCGATGACTTATTAATAATGATCATGTGGTTTTATTTAGTTATTTATCTAATCAAGATTCAGGTGGTTTAAGCTGGTTAACCTGAGGGGGGAATCACACCCCAGTGGGGCTTCGCTGGTCAGAAGCAAAGATGGAGCGTCCTGTGAGCCCCCAGCACCCCTGGAGCCGGCATGTGAACTGCCTGCCAACCAGATAGAAAGGCTCGTGTTCAGAAGGCTGGTGTTGTGGAGTGAGGACGGGATGTTTATTAAACACAGGTGGTAGCAGAGCCGCAGGCCCAACAAGCGAGAGAATGGAGCCCATTCTCTGCGCTTCACACTGGGGGAGCTTGTGAGTTAGACTCACAGGCTGCTGCTCACGTCCCAACCTGGCCGCCAGCAGCTACCACTGGACCTGCTTGCTCCCTTGAAGGCCTTCTAAAGCGGTTGTGACACAAAGCAGCCGAATGACATCTCCTGGGCTTGACAGAAACAGACAACCACATCGTCTTACCTTACCTTGCAGTGGCTGCAGCATTCGACTGCGGCGGATAAATCCCTGTCTTTATGGCCTTCTTGCCCCCCAAATAGGAAATTCCACTTTTCGTGTGGCTAAGAAGCCTGTCCCTCCCACAGTGCCACATTGAAAGACAGGCCATGTGCAGCAGAGCTGTGCAGTCACCCGAGGCCACCTGTCCCCCCCTGGGAAACACCGAGGCTCAGACTTGGCACTGGAGTAGGCTAAATTATTTATCCTGTCAGAGAAGAGAGAAAGGCACACAGAGCTTCCTCGGGTTATAGCCTCCATCCCTGGATGCAGACCGAGGAAGCAGGCCAGCCTCCGTCAGCAAAGAGAAAAGAGAAATAGCATTTTTCCTCCAAAGCCCTCATCCATCACCTTTTATGTCTGGCCTGAGTCCCAGCCAGGGTAAAAAGAAGCTGTTCCCATCAATCTTCTCAGATCCATTGCGTTCTGTGTGGCAGGCCCCGTTGTCTGTAAGGTGGAGAAGTGACCTCTGCCCTCACTAAGCCTACAGTACACCCACCTGGACAGACAGGGAAAGTGTCTAGACAGGTGAATTCCTCACTCGCTCCTTCCAGACACGCAGTGTGCCAGGTGCCTTGCTGGGTGCAGGGGTGTGGGACTGAAGACCCGTGCAGGACAGTGGCAAAAACGCTAAAGCGACAGTGGGCAAAGGGTGTAAAACAACAGTGAAAATGTCACGAGACGTGTCCAGTTTCTCAGTAAGTGATACACAAGCTAAAGGCCACGTGGTCTGAGCAGTTCTTAGTTTTGGTTTTGGTGATGCTGTAAGCAGCACACCCCAGTGCCGGTCACCAGTCACCACCCACATGTGCAGTGGCCCCTCCAGGACCCTCCCTACATCAGGGGCCAGCACTTCACAGCCTCCTCGTTGGCCGAACAGACCGGGCAGCAGGTCTGGATGGAGTGAGGTCATTGACAGAGTAGTGTCTGCAAATACAGGCGTGTCCCTGCTTCCAGGGGACTTTCCTCAGCCTCAGGAGCCATCCTTCAGGTCCAAAACAATGTGGCCCTGACCTTTACAGCCTTTCATGGTGAGACTTGGGAGAGGAAAACTAAAAAGATGGTTGTACTTCAAGTGGTAATTCTGTACACGTAGTTTTGTCACTTGTTACAGACTCTGGGATTCTGATTGGAGTTCGTGTCTCATTTGAGAGGCCTGTCATGATGTCATCTATTTTTTTTTTTCTTGCATTTAAGGCTCCTTCCATCTCATTAATTTCTTAAGGGCAAAAAACGTGTCTTCTTCATCTTTCTAAACTCCTTTTCATAACTTAACACTTTGCCTCACTTATGACAGGTGCTTAAGGGTTCCCTGTTGGGTGAACTCTGTCATCCAAAGATGGAGGGTGCACTGGGCCTGGGTTTAGGGCTTGTTTCAACCCCAAACCTCAAATTTGCCCAAGAGTAGCCTTTCCCTAATTGGGAGAGTTTCATGCAACTTTCACTGGCTTACAGTGATGACAGACAGAAAGAACACATTCCCCACTGGCCTAACATCAAAAACATTGTGAAAACATTGCTGACCATCAGCAGTGAGGAGAAAGTCGGAGGCAAGTTACCCCACACTTAAACCCGGAGTTCTTGTGGTGACACGGGTGCTCATTCTGTGAACCAGTGCTGGGACTCAGCCTCATGCACAAGCACAAACAGAGGAGCCTGGGACTAAAAGTGACACCCAACTTGGCTGAGAAAAGCAACTTGGCCGTTTAAAGAAAAAATTAATTCACTTTAAACCATGGAGTGCAGTACACAGCAGACATCACTGGTGTTTAGAAATTATCTTAAAGGTGGCCGCAGGCAGGAAAGACAAAAGTCAATACAAACAACACAGCAAGCGGGGGCTGCTCACCGAAGTCTCAGTGCTTAATTGTGGCATTTCTGTGCATCCTTCTCTGCAGGTGGAATTGGCTGTGTAGGTCGAGACAAGGGCCAAGTTCGAAAATGTCTCGATGTGGTGGAGATCTACAACCCGGATGGGGACTTCTGGCGAGAGGGCCCTCCCATGCCGAGTCCCCTTCTCTCCCTGAGAACCAACTCCACCAGCGCAGGAGCAGTGGACGGGAAGCTCTATGTCTGCGGGGGATTCCACGGAGCAGGTACTGGGCCTGTTTTAAATGTTTCTAAACCTCCTTGGTGTTGATTTGACTTCCCTTAACTGACCTGGCCACCAGGAGATACCGAGAACAGCGTGAGCACTGGCAAAAAGCAAGGCCCTGAGCGACTCACTGAGCCTCTGGGCCTGGGTTTCCACATCCACAGGCTGATGTGAGAATCCAGCAGGGTCTAGTTTATATGGCCCGCTGCACTCAGCAGACCCCCAGACCATAGTGGTATCATGTGAAGAGAGGAGAAATGGGAGAGGTCGCTTAATGCCTGACAGCAGGACTGAAGGAGAGATTTCCAATGGGAAGAGCCAAGGGAACTGGCAGACCAGCCAGGAGCACTGGGTTTTACTTTACTGATCAAGACTCAGAAGACTTTCTTATTCCTATTCCACTGTTACCACTTGAAATTAATTGCTTGAAAGCATTTCTAAAATAATATCTAATGCATATATTTATTACTGAACTTCATGTCCATACATCTAAATGTATCATTGCATTCTATGGTATGGCTCCATCATTTTTTAACGTAACAGGAATATTTTTAAATATGCATAAACCTAGTAGGCAAATATCTCCAAATTCTGATTAATTGCATCAGTAAATAAGTCAGGATGCAGTTATATTAAAAATGACAAAGTGTTTAATTCTAATCTCACTAACAGAAGCACCAGGCCACTGCATCCCCATGAAACACAAGCCTCAAAAGCACTTCAAGTTTGGGAAGAATGCCAGATTAAAATAAAGCTGATAGTGCAAACACATAATTATATGTAAGCTGAAGAACAAGGTTTTTATTACAAATTAAAAGAGACTTAGGAGATATAAGAACCCAGTGCAATGAGTGGAGTTTATTTGGTTCTTGATTCAAACAAATCTTCTGTAAAAAGGTATTTTTCACATAATCTGGGAAATTTGAACATGGACCAGGGATGTTTGATAATATCATAGTTATTAATTTTGTTAGCAGTAATAATGGCATTGTAAAAAAGAGAAAGAAGAAAAAATAATCTGAATAATTAGAGATTGTTTAGAAGTGTCAATAGCCAGGTTGTGGCAGGTGCCTGTAGTCCCAGCTACTCAGGAGGCCGAAGCAAGAGGAGCCCAGGAGTTTGAGGTTGCTGTGAGCTGCGATGCCACAGCACTCAACCAAGGGTAATAAACTGAGACTCTGTCTCAAAAAAAAAAAAAAAAAGCATCCATGGGTGAAAATGATGCTGTCTGAAATTTTTTTAATGGAGAGAGGTGGTAAGAACAGATTTTAACATCACTGGTTCCTGTTGATAATTATTAAAGGGGGATGATGAGTCCATGGGGCTTTATTTCATTACTTTTGTATATACGTCAAAGTTCCCATTTACTTTTACTTTTTCTATTTGTTCTTCAGAGGATTTTCCAAAGACTTTTTAAAAATCATTTTAATATCTTTTCCATTAAACACTGCATGCCATGCTTGGTTAAAGGCTGTAGTCTATCAGGGCAGTGAGAAACCAGGCGTGGCAAGGAGGCATAGATGGGAGCCCTTGTGCAAGGCCTGCATGTGAGGAGGGATTCAAGGCACAAGGACGGACCCCAGGTGCAGGGGGCTCCTGCAGCAAGCTCGCCACCCCCCACCTGCCCCCACAGTCACCGAGCTCCTCTGTAGCCTCTGGAAGGGAAGAGAACAGAAGGGGCAGCCACGGGACCCCCAGAGGGATGAGTGGTAATTAGTGTCTGAAGACCTAGAAGATATTCCATTCTGCCTTGTTTCTTTATCTCATCTTTCTTGGTATTATACTGAGTTACAGAATTGATATCTCCCAATTTTCCAACCGTGTATAATAACCTCATACCACGGCCAGCGTCCCTTCTTGGTGCTATAATGGACTGATAATGATTCTAGCTGGAGGGAAAGGGATTTGCTAGATGAGCTCTCAAAGTCCGTTTTAATTATTTGGTTCTAAAGTGGTAGGTTGTTTGGGATGATCTGAATGAACTGTCACTGGGATTTTGTGCAAAGCAGAACAATTTATGACAGCGTGCCCATTATGATCTCGAGATCTCATCATCAGGCCAAAAGCAGACAGTGAATTGTCTCTCCCGAGTGACACAGACTACCGTAGTCAATGAAATTTTATTGAAATGTATCATGAACAGGTATTTGGGATACAATCTTGAGATGTTCAATATTTGATGGGAAAAACATACACAGAAACATGTAATAAATATGGTAGTTTGTTAATGGTTCAAAGAGGAGGTTGAATACCTCTATTTTTCTCTCCATTCTAAAATGCCATTTAGTGGGAAATACACAATTAGACAAGGACAAGAGGAGAGGAGATGGTAGCAACAAAATTTTGGAAGCTGGAATGCAAATGAGTGATTAGTTAATGAGTAGACGGGAACAAGTTTAATTCTCAACTAGTAATAGGAGAGCAAAAAACAAACGAAATCCTGATATCCCCGTTGTACACCACGACCAAGCAGGAGGGCTGGCTTAGCATTCAAAAATTGATCAATATATTTGTTTTATCTTGCCTGCATTGTTGCACAGTATCAGAAGTCAATGTAATGCATCAAGTTAGTCAAGGACAGAAAGCGGATGATCATTTCAGCACGTGCAGGGAAGATCTGTTTGCCGCGTGTGAGCACATCCTGCCTTGTAGACGTTCTTACTCTGCCAACCTTTCTCTTCCTCAATGAACTTTGTTTCACACTTGCCTTAAAAAAATAGATACAGAAAAGGGATCCGACAAAATCCAACCCCTTTCATGGTATAAATACATAACAAACCAGAAATAGAAGGCAAATTCTTTTTCAATGGAAAATCCGCAGCTAACATCACGTTTAATGGTGAAAGACTGAAATCTTTCCCCCAAAGTCAGGATTTAGACAAGAGCGTCGACCCTTGCCACTTCAATTCAACATGGGAGGTTTTAATCATGGCGACTAGGACAGAAAAAGCAAAAAAGGCATCTAGATTAGACAGCAATAAGTAATTGCATATGACACGATCTTGCATTTAGAAAATCCCAAGGAATTACCAAAAAGCTATCAGAGCTAATGAACAAGGACCGCAAGTCGGTCAGACATGAGACCACGTGCCCTGCAAATCGTATTTCTGGACACCTGCAGTGAAGAATCCAAAAGTAAAATTAAGAAAACAATTCATTAGGATGAAATCCTTAGGAATAAATTTAACAATGAAGTGCAGAATTTGTACACTGAAAATTGCAAAACATCATTAGAAGAAATTGAAAACCCAAGTAAATGGGAAGATATTGCATGCAAAAATTGATAGTCTGCTCCTAAAATTTATATGGAAACGTGAGACCCAGAATAGCCAAAATGATCTTGTAAAAGAAAGAACAAAGTTGGAAGACACACACTTCCTAATTTCCAAGCTTACTTCAGAGCTGAGGTAGATGTGCCTGGTGCAGTGACAGACGTATAAATCAGTGGAACAGACTTGAGAGTCCGGAAAAAACCCTCCTACCTGTGATCAATTGATCAACAAGGCTGCCAAGACAATTCAATGAGGAAAGGATTATTTTTCCAACAAATGGTGCAGGAATAATTGGATATCCCCATACGAAAGAATAACGTTCAGTCCCTATCTCACACCATGTACAAAAATGAACTCAAAATGGATCCAAAACCTAAACAGAGCTAAAACTGTAAAATCTGAGAAGAAAACAGAGGTACGAATCTTTGCGATCTTGAATTAGACAACAGTTTCTCAAAGGGCGCCATCGAGAAAAATGAAAAGACAACTCACAATCTCAAAAGGATTGCAAAACATACATCTGATAATATATAAAGAAAACATCCAGCTCAATAAAAAAGACAAGTAACATATTTTTTAATTGAAAAAGGACAAAGAATAGACATTTCTCCAATTAACCAATGACCAAGTGTTCATCATTAGCCATTAAGGAAATGCAAATCAAAACCATAATGATGGCTGTGATCAAAAAGATAGTATCAAATGTCAACAAGGATTGTAGAAATCAGAGCTCTCACACACGGCTAGAGTGAGCATACACCAGTGTGCCAGGGAGGGAGGGCTAACCCTGCACCCCCCGGGGACAGTGCACGCATGTGGGTGAGGGCCACACTTACGACTTGACTCGGATTGTGCGAATGCAATCGTGTAGCCAGATCATTTGTACCTCTGTAATATCCTGAAATCTAAAAGAAAAAAAAAGGGGGAGCACAGTGAGCGGGCTGGGGGAGCAGGAGGCCGGATTACAGGGGAGCACAATGAGCAGGCTGGGGGCGCCTGGGGCTGGATTACAGGGCAGCACAGTGAGCAGGCTGGGGGCGCAGGAGGCCGGATTACAGGCGAGCACAGTGAGCGGGCTGGGGGCGCAGGAGGCCGGATTACAGG